GGACTGGAGTTACAGTCAGTGGTTAGCCACATATGGGTGCTGGGAACCAAACCCAGGTCCTTTGCAAGAGCAGCAAGTGCTCTCGCTTGTTAAACCATCTTCCCAGTCCCCTGCCCCCAGTAGTAATTTTAGAGTGGTTTTTGTATTGCAGAAGTGAAATGAAATGTATTTCTTGACTCTTGCTGTTTCTTGTTACCATCAGTTGATCTGCAGAGGGGCCACCTCCACGCAGTGGCCAGGGAGAAGGGCTGTGGACATTCAGTTTCAATGTTCCCTACCACGGTTAGCCGCATGTGGGTGTTGGGAACCAAACCCAGGTCCCTTGCAAGAGCAGCAAGTCCTCTCGCTTGTTAAACCATCTTCCCAGTCCCCTGCCCCCAGTAGTCATTTTAGAATGGTTTTTGTATTGTGGAAGTGAAATGAAATGTATTTCTTGATTCTTGCCGTTTCCTGTTACCATCAGTTGATCTGCAGAGGAGCCACCTCCATGCAGTGGCCAGGGAGAAGGGCTGTGGACATTCAGTTTCAATGTTCCCTACCACCCAGGATCCTCCCTGAAGTCCCCTGGCTGTGCAGTGTCCCTGCTGAGTGGGAGCTTGTCCTATATCCAGTCAGGTATGACAGGGATGGTTTGTCATGTCCACCACAATAGGCAGGTGCTGGCCAAAGATAACATATGAGCAGGATGTGGTCAGCACAGCCCCAGTTCACACTCTGCAAAGGTTTCTGTTTGCTGACCACACAGCCTCTCCTCACCCTAACATGGCAAGGGTGAGGGTAATGGAACAGGATCCTCCCTGCAGTCCCTGGCTGTGCAGGGTCTCTGTTGAGTGGGAGCTTGTCCTATATCCAGTCAGGCATGACAGGGATGGTTTGTCATGTCCACCACAACAGGCAGGTGCTGACCAAAGATAACACATGAGCAGGATGTGGTCAGCACAGCCCAGTTCACACTCTGCAAAGGTTTCTGTTTGCTGACCACACAGCCTCTCCTCACCCTAACATGGCAAGGGTGAGGGTAATGGACATTCTCAGATATATTTCCAGGTTTAACACAGCCATCACAAAGGTTATGCACTAACATCTTCATCAAAAGTTCTTTGAGTTACAGTTACCCTAGTGTGCACAGGTCTCTGGAAGTCAGTCATCTGCTGAAGTTGCAGTGTGTTCCCTGTGATCAGTACCTCTCCATGTCACAAGCTGCCCTTCAGATAGCAGCGCTGCCTTACACAGTTGAAAACTTCAAGGAAGATGTGTGTTAAATGTTCTTTATATGAGACAAAAATGAAGGAGGAAAATGATAACTGTGATGATTGTGGGTATGTTAATTATGTGAGTGGATGAAGGGAGGAGCCCAGAATTTTTCCTCTCTATTATCAGCTGCCTAGGGGAGGGTATTCAACTAATTTCAACCCTTAAGGGCTCTGGGTATAGACGACTCTAGGCTCAAAGTGTTAAGTCAGGAGAATGGGGTACCCAGAACCTTGGGTGAGAATGGGGGAAAATGCCCTTGGGGGAGGGGGTCAGGACATTTCTCAAAGGACAGGAGTCCACAGAGACATCAACATGTGTACCTCTTTTCCCCACAAAGACTCTGTAGGGACCAGGTCCAGTGCAGGAAAAACTGGCCAAGGGCTCTGGGTATAGACAGCTCTAGGCTCAAAGTGTTAAGTCAGGAGGATGGGGTACCCAGAACCTTGGGTGAGAATGGGGGAAATGCCCTCGGGGGAGGGGGTCAGGATATTTCTCAAAGGACAGGAGTCCACAGAGACATCAACATGTGTATCCCTTTTCCCCACAAAGACTCTGTAGGGACCAGGTCCAGTGCAGGAAAAACTGGGGGCAAATCTTGGCACCTGCCCCCAGTGAATCCATTTCCTCCCTGAAGTAGGTGGATGAAGTCTGCCCATTTTATATGTCCAGTCACTTCATTCTGTCTTCTGCTCCCTGGCACTGTGAGGGGTGGGGCAGGCAGGCAGGCAGAGCACTGGGTGGCCATGGTAGCGACTTTACTGGAAGGCCTGTGACATGGGGTCCTTGATTTGCTTTCTTGGCTGGATGGAGGCCTGCTATTCCAAGGGCTGTTGGTGCCCAATGCAGGAGAGTTGTTAAAGCTGTCATCTATGCTGTTTGGCATGACAAACTGGGTGTTCTATAGCTAGGTTCTGAGCCTCTGGTCCTCATCCCAGAACTTTCTGCCCATCAAGGTGGGCTCCCATATCACCATCACCCCATGAGATGCCCAATGCAGGAGAGTTGTTAAAGCTGTCATCTATGCTGTTGGGCATGACAAACTGGGTGTTCTATAGCTAGGTTCTGAGCCCCTGGTCCTGATCTCAGAACTTTCTGCCCATCAAGGTGGGCTCCCATATCACCATCACCCCATGAGGAGTGGCAGAAGGGCCCAAGCATAAATGGGGCAGGGGCTCACTCAGCCTAGGGCAGCCAATATCCCCGGAGCCTCCATAACTTCCCTAGCAGTTCAACATCCCATCTCCTCTTCATACCTGTGCTGGATAGCTTCAGTTGATAAGTTAACCTACCTAGTTAGAAGGAAACTCAATCAGATGGATTGGCCTATGGTTATGTCTGTGGGACATTTTCTCTTGATTATTGAGTGATATTGGAGGACCCAGGCCCAAAGCATAAATGGGGCAGGGGCTCACTCAGCCTAGGGCAGCCAATATCCCATGAGCCTCCATAACTTCCCTAGCAGTTCAACATCCCATCCCCTCTTCATACCTGTACTGTATAGCTTCAGTTGATAAGTTAACCTACCTAGTTAGAAGGAAACTCAGTCAGGTGGATTGGCCTGTGGTTATGTCTGTGGGACATTTTCTCTTAATTATTGAGTGATATTGGAAGACGCAGGCCACTGTGAGTAGTACCACCCCAGGGAAGGTGGTCCTGTGTTGTATAAAGAAGTAGGCTGAGCACAGGCCAAAGGAGCCCACCAGTAAACAGAGTACCTCTGTGACCTGTGCTCCAGGGTCCTTCTCTGAGTCCCTGCCTTGGCTTCCCTTATGATGGATGGTGAACTGCAAGGCAGGTGAACCCTTTCCTCCCCAGGATGATTTTGGTCAGTGTCTCAACACAGCATTAGAAAGTTAACTAGGACAGACATTAGTATCAAGAATTGGATATTGCTGTGATGTAATTGATCCCTATGTGTCTAAAGATTGTGGATGTTGTTGAGCTTTGGACTGGAAAAATGCTTGGAAATCAATGAGATATTCTGTTAGAAATTGGAAGATAATGCTGATGGAGGTGCATACAATGGAGGCTCTATCAGGGATATGTGTGATATATTTTGAGTTATGCCTTTTGGAAGTGAGAAGTTTGTGCTTTACAGGGATAATCCAAGGTGGTCAGCTGAGGCTGAAGAATCAGCCATGAGTAACGGGAGAGCTACATGATTGAGAGAAATCTTCTGGAAGTATTCCCTAATGGTTAGCACCCAGACACTGTGGTCCAGAGGGATCCAAGGCTGCATATCATTCTGACAGCAGAACTTGGCAGTGTATAAGAGTATCTCAGGTGGTACTAGTATTGGAGATGTGAAGGGTCATGGACAGAATCTTTGCACTCAGAGAGGCCATTGAGGAAGGTGCAGGCTCAGTTGCAATGGAGACCGCAGGATACTGGAGATACCAGAACCATGGTATCAACACCATGGGGAGTCAGGTGTGGAGCAGAGCCAGCCTGAACCTGTGAGACAAACTGTGTGTGTGGTGGATGGCAGAGCCAGAGAAGTGGAGCTCCTCAAGGCCTGCAGAGTTCAGAAGATTGTGATTGAATCCCAGATATTCAACATTCAGCCACATCTCTAGACCTTGGTTTTGCTTAAAGTATACCTCAGCTCTTCCTTTTTGAAGTAAGTCAGTATGTAACTTATTTTGGATTTTACAGGAGTCCACATTTGAGAGACATTAGATATTTTTAAAAA